GCTGCAAGGACCATAAATACCTCAGAATGGTCCCTGCCCTTAGTTTGTTTACCTTTTTTGACCCAATCACTGCAAGCCTTATGCGCATGCGTACTAGTCCCCCTTTTTTCAAAAAATTCGAATCGTCCAATCAGAAAAGAGGAGACGGAGGAGGAGGCAGTTTCAAAAGCTAAATGCTGCAGCTCGGTTGTAATGGAGCTAGTTTTGTTTTCTGCCGCTTCAAAACATTTATTTTAATAACGCTGAAAGAAGGAAGTGAATCGTGATAAACATGGAGGAGGCTGAGTCTGCGCCGATGCTGTCCAGAAAAGGTTAGCGACATTGTTTAGTTAGTTACATGATGAGCAACTCCGTGTTTGGCTAACTAACTACTGCTCGTGTTAGCTAACAGTGATCCGTTCAACAAACTACTTCTTCGTTTGTTGTTAATGGTGTTACTGAGCTTATTTGATTGCGCTTTGAGTTTAAAAGGAGAAGCATTAGAGGTTTATTTAAAAAAAAAGTGGTCGAAGAAATGAACTCGACTGTGGTTTTCATGTTTCCATCAGTCTAAAAAACAAGTTCATCTAATCAGCTCGGTAAACAAACAGCACCATTTTGTGTCTGAAATATCGCGTAAATATTAGACATGAGTCCCTCAAAGTACAAAATTGTGATTTTATGTCTTCATCTGTTTCAGTTCAAGAAGTTAAACTAAATTAAAATGTCACATTTTCTCACGTTTCACTGTTAGCCAGGACTGCTGTTTTCTGAATGTAGCTGTGTGAAAACTGTATGTCCTTTCTGATAAGTAGATCCAAAAAAACTAAAATAGAGCAAAGCACTGTTGGATAAGTTAGTGTTACCGTGTTGGGGAAAATAAAAGTTTTACGCAGGTTTTGGTGAAATTTTATTTAAGTTTTATTTATATTCAGTACAGCCATAAAATACATGGAGGCAAAAATATTTTGATTGCAGTTACAAATAATTATTGGCTAGAAGTGTCTAATTGTGACAATGGAAAGCACCAAATTAAAAATTATATTTACATGAAAATATTGCTTTCCACTTTTGAACTCTGAAACTTCTGTGTTCGATAAGAAAAAAATTGTACAGGTCCTCTGGACGGGTTCTTCTTTAATGAAACGTTTCGTCTCTCTTCCAAGAGACTTCTTCAGTCTGAGAGTTTCAGGC